GTGTCTCGTAACATTAATAATGCGAGCGAAGAGGGAACTGCCACGTACCCACCCAGCCACCCATTCGTCCCCCTGTTCCGCCTCCACCTGCTTAGACTTTACGGCTGCCTTGGTTGCGAGCAACTTGGACTGGAAGTAAGTTCTCGAGAGCCTGGATGGAAATTGACGTTAATGTGCCCCGAAAGCAGCTTCACCACCCTCACCCTCCCTCCTTACGTCGCGCCAGTATGATCGTCCTAGCCTGAAAGAACCCACCCCGGGCAAGTCTGCGGAGGTAGTTAGCGAAGTAGTTCCTACAGAGATGGATTATGACGGTGTCGTAGGAAGAATATGTGATCGGTGTCTTGCTGCAACAGTCTGAGATCTTGCCTCTTAAATTCTCTACAAAATTGATCGTCTTCTTTCCCGAGAAAGCTCTTAATCGAAATTTTTGAAATTATATCAAGGAAGGAGCTCATTTATAATTGATTAGATTCAACATTTTTGCAAGATCTTTTTATTCTTTCAAAGATACACAAAAACAGTACTCGCTCTCTATTCTGTCGTGGCGATACGACGAAACAAAGGGGCCAGTTAGGGAAACAAGGAGACAATTTTGAAGGAACCGTCTTCATCAGCGTTTCCTCCGGTCCTTCGGTCTTCGCTAATTGTCTCGGAGATGTTTCTCGATGTCCGAGCGACGTCAGTCGAGGAACTCGGGCCGCGACACGACCGCCGCAACTGCTAACTGAAAAATCCGATTTACCGAGTTAAACGGGATTAATTACGGTAATTAGAGTTTGTTGTTCCAGACCGTGCGCGCGTCTCGAACTTTCCTAATGTCCGAATGGGATTTTCGGATTGCAACTCTCCTCTGACAATCCGTCTCGCTGTCTGGACACGTTGTACACAAGCAAGATCGATGAAAGATCACCGGCTTTGCCGGAAATTTCTCTCTCCGAGTTCACCGTATTACCTGCACTGGTTCTTTGTATCGTTGAATCTTGCTGGAAATTTTCACAGGGATTTTTACAATGAATTATAAGACAGGATCTTGAGGAATGTTTAGACTGGTTGATTTAAAGGATACTTGTACAGCCTGTTAGCTGACCCCTTATCCTTGAAATAATCTCGTTCTGACGTAGCTCGATACCTGGAGTAATTGTTTCTCCGTATTCGCTCGGTATCGGCTAGTACGTGACAGTTCAAGGGTCTCCGGTGTTGCTTGACCGCTGGTCAGCGGTGGGAAAGTGCCGTATGGTTGCAGAAACTCTACCGGTATTACTAGTTTCGAATAGATCTCTGAGACTTGTAGAATTTTCTTTCGAATCCTCGTAAGAAACATGTATCGTTTCTCATTATGCTAAATTTCAAATGTCAAGAAATTATCTAAAATAACACGTGTAAATTATTCACGAAACTGACTCGTATAATCTCCTTCGAGAATGTTGTTACTTCTTAACGAACCCTTCAAAGAATACCATCAGAATTCTTGATTTACTTTTGACAGACTTCGATTTCCGTCGCGCGATAATTGTCATAATATCGCCGGGAAACCGCTCGGAATAGCTTGATTAAATTCAAACGATATCCCAGATGCGATTATGTTCTTTCCAGTTTGATATTATTAATTATAATCCTGTCTCACGATACCAGTCGCCGGGGAAGTTTCTCACGAAATCAGGATCATCGACTTCCAGTTCCGTTTCTTTCCCACTGTACGCTTCGTATCTCGATAAACTTGTTTCGATCAAATTTTCACGCGATTCTCGAGCGACTGAAAGTTGGGTAGAAGGTGAACTGGTTTCCTTCGAGGTGGTCGGCCACCTTGGAAATTCGACGAAAAGATGTAGCAGCACGAGTTCGTGACGATGGATACAATAACTAGCAAGAGTACGCGTCTAACCCGAAAGCAACTCGCTCGTCGGACGAGTTTGCGAAGGGCGAGCAAAAGTTGCCTTTGTGGCTCGTCCTTCGAGGACGCTCGAAAATCTGGGGGTGAAAAGGAACCGGTCGCGCTAGACTTCTTTTCAAAATTCTTGCAAATCCCACGTTCGCCTAATCAGAGACAGGCTTGTCCTTTCTACCGGTCGAACAAGAATCCTCGATTCTTGCTTCGGCAAGCTTCACCAACGGGTGAGGGGGCGATGGGGGGAGGGGGAGGACTCTTTGTTCGACCGGAAATTACAGAATCCGCAGAATTCGCCGTTCAATTTTCAAGTTCTCCCTTTATCGGCAGGACGAATACTTGCGAGGATTGCTCGGAGCCAGCTAGGGGATTCCAATTTAATTCCGCCTTGGCGTAATTGATGATACGAGAGGAAGTAGAACGTAACGAAATTTCCTTGCAACGGACTTCAGACAGAGGACGCTAATATAGGATTTACGTTACCCAGCCGACCGCGCGCTGCCTAGCGCCAAGTACATAGCGATAAATATATAGCTCCGGTATAGTAATGAAAGTTTCCCTCCGAACATCCAAGGCTCCTGGGATCCAACATTATGATCCTCTGCCTCCCTTGGCCCCCTAGACAGAGCTGCCAGCTTAAAACCCTCCTCTGGAAAGTGTTGTCCGTGGAAAGCTCCTCCGAGTTACCGTACTTCCTTCAAGGTCAGCATCGATGACCTCGAACCGTTCACCGATCGACCATAATGCAACATAGACGGCGCGGACCGCGATGGATTTGCGAAAAACGATCGACCGGCGAAAGACTTTGCTTCGCTCGATAATTTTTCGCCCGTCATCAGGAGAACGGGCGACGTCTCCTTTCCCGGTATGCTAATAAAACGGATCTTATGTGGCGAAGACGCCATTTTGAATAATGTCGACCAATCAGAAGGCCCGCTCGGGCGTCTTGGGGGGGTGGCGGGTGTCGACGAAGGGGGAGACACGTGCGCTCCGCACTACCACTAGCTGTTCCTACACAAACTACCCTTATATTATGCTGTACTGTAAACCCCAGCACAACCTTTGCACACCCCACCATCCTTTCCTCTTTCTACCCGAATCTAGCCCTCTTCCTTCGTCCTACCGATGCTTCTTCGACTCGATAACCTCGACTTTTCAAAACCTTCCGCCTTGCAATTGAAAATTCACCTACAAAGTTTCCATATGAAAAAATCAGACGAATATGATCAGTGATAGCAGAGCGTAGAGATTGCAGGCAAATCAGTTCTTACTCGGAAGGGCAAAGGTATTTCCGGCAAAGGCTGGCATTCCAGCGAAACTTCGCGTCGTCTCGTTTCTGATTACGCAAGACGCAAGCAACGCGTCGTGTCACTTTGTCATTCAAATAGGAAGATTCCTTGGAAACGAGGCTACGCGCATCGGCTTTGGCGCGCCTTCCCGGGGTTATTCGTCTCCAACGGATGAGTATACGCGACGTCTGACGAGGGATAGCTTCGAATAAGACGGAATGGTCGGGGGATACATCTCGACTCTCTACTTGGTCTCTCATGTTTCTCGTTTCATTGTGCAAGCCCCCCTTAGAATCCCAAAGGCGCTGCTACACGTACAGATGGATCACGGCAGGAGGATGTTGGAAGGACGAACCGAGGGGGGAAGGGGTGGGATGCCCCCCCACGAGGTGGTTGCCGAATGAAAACGGGGATGAAACGATGGATGGGGTACGGGCTTCGCGCTCTTGGATCTCATACATACATTAACGTCGCTTGTCAGGCGTACCGAGCCACCCTGTAAGACTTAAGACACCGCTCGAGGAAGGGGTGCAGCTTGTCTGTCTCCTTGTCTTACTCCCCCATCCACCACCGCCCTCCAACCTCTCCCTCTCTTTCCGTGACACTGGCGTACATTCCTCGATGCCTGTGCACCTCCGACTCGTTACTAAAACCACCCACTGTCTTGGGAACACCCGCTTCGTTTCCTCGAATATGGCCGCCACCAACTCCCGATTCCATTTGCATCTGATTATACATTTTACAAGATTCTGCAAGCTGCTTCACGGGGCTTGCCTCGACGGGGAAAGAATCACCCCTTGGTAACCGTGCTTCCAGCAATGGAACTTTGTTGTCGAACATTCAAACAGGGATCCTGGAATCTGATTAACTCTCTGCAAAGTAGAATAATTATTTCCATTAATTACTGTTAATAGCTGTCAGCTGTTTTCAGAATAAACGAACCTGTTCGAAGTTCGTTGAAATTTTGACGAGGAGCAACTCTTTGAAAACGCGCCAAGACCAAACGCGACGGAATTTGCGAGGAACGTTTCATGGTAACATCCAAGACAACACCACCCGCGAGGCTCGTCTCGTGTAATCAACGAAGACGCGTCTGATTTTCCTTGCTGAAGCGTCATCCTCCGCTACACCTCCTTCTGGAACCGTTGTTACTGCTTAGAGCACCTCGTTCCATTTCGTCCCCCTTTCCTCTTCAAGGAAGCTGGAAAAGGATCCGCTTAGCGGTAGTATACGCGCATCACTGATGACGTATCTGCGTATTTACTTAATGGCTCGACTCGCAGGATGTCTAGGGACTAGATTCGAATCATTCCTCACCCCCTATACACTCGTCTTAACGCGTTACTTACTCTTAGCAAAACTGAACATTTAATATACCGAGTTTTATCACTTAATTATGAATATTTTGACGGAACGAAGATTTACTAATTAGGATCCGAGAAATATTTGTCACATTTTCAGAGTTAATTAGGACGGTTAAGCGTGATACAGTAGGCTGCACGAAAAAATGAATGTATTACCGGAGAAAAGAATATTCTTGCACCCTGCATCGATGTCTCCGCGACCCAGTGGGTGTGACTTTTCGTTTTCCACCGACGAATCCCCGTTTTTTCCTCGCATTTCACCCTACCACTGCTTCGCGCCGCAGAGAGTGGTAAAGTGCGGCGCGGGATAAAACTACCCTTGGAAGCGTGCGCGCGATTCCGCTAAAAATCCACCTGTACTCGTCAGGAGATTTTATACTGGCCACCTCCCACCTTCTTTCGAAAATACGTTTTTCATAATCGTTGCAGGACTTCGCTAACCAATCGTTTTCTTTTCAGGTTGCTGGCGATTAAAGGAGAATACCAGAGGAAACGAACAGGATCGGATATAACCTTCAGCCGAAATTGTATGGGAAAAAAAAAAGAAAAAAAAAAAATTGTCTACAACTTTATTAAGGAAAAGAAAAATGAGTTTGCTGGCTCGTTTGGTTTCATCCGAATTCAGCTCACGCGAGAGCAGCAGCTTGCAGGAATCAGGGATGGCGGCAGTGGAAAGGGGTTGACGGCGGTGCACGGAGAGGGATGGTGCCCCAAGGGTGTGTTCCGGAATCGGGGTAAGATGGAGGAAAATCGTTACTCACTAGTCGCGGGGAAGTCGAGGGTTGAGAGGGTAGAGCGAGGGCGTAGGGGAGCGTAGAGACTCTGGGGCTTGAAAGAGGGAGATTCGTGCGCACTCACGGCCATGCATACACGCACACACATACACACACACAGCCACACACGACCCTCCGTCTAGGTTCAAGCAAGACGATCCCGGGGAAAACGCCTAAAATACGTCGATATGAGGCAACCTGAGGAAGCCCGTCTTCGCTCCGCCGTTCTCCATACCACCGACAGCTTTCTTTGAGCGAAAGCAAAATTTCATGGGGGTTTACTCGGAACTTCTCTCAGGTTTATACGAGGGTCCTGATTACTCTGAACGTTATTCCAAGGGGACAGAACAAACTTGCTTTCAATCTGATACTTCAGGGACGATTAATTAAATTTTCTGTCTATTTTTTAATAACCATTCCACCGGACAGTTTATACACACCGTCGATCAAAAACTTTGCAAGTATTTTATTTAAAATTATTCATTTAATTTTAAAGAATTTTATGGTAGTATTACGTTACTTTTTATACAGTTAATTTACCAAATTTTTCTAAGCACTTTCGTAGCATCAAGTTTCCTTCTTGCTAGATCCGGTCTCCTTTACCGGAGGACCATCAGTACCCTTAAAGAGCTTTCATAGAGCAACAGCTTCGTATCGTTTTCCCGGGGCCTGAATTAATTGAAACTATCCATCTCGGAGGGGTCGAAACGACGCAAAGACGAAACCTTATAGTCTACCCGCGAACATCCGCCATTTTCCCATAAGAGGGAAAGATATCGAGAGAGAGAGAGAGAGACGGGGGATGCGAGGGGTGGAGCGTTCCTTTGAGAATTTCGATGTAAGACACTCGGGTGCGCCGTGGCAGCTTCAATTTAGATAATTAATGATACGAGCGTAGGTTAGGTACAGTTAGTACAGTAAGACCGAGTGGAAAACAGTTTCCAACCCCGTCCTTGCCTCGTTGCAACCCCCAACCACCCTCGTACTCTCGACGAGAGTTTCTCGAGACGGCGTAGTACCTTCTGGCATCGTGAGAGAGTTGGGTGACGAGGAGGCTGGGTACCACGGGGGTGTCAGCCTCATCAGAGGGGGTGTTGTTCGCGAGGGGTAGTTCACGAGACTCGTTTTATCTCCTCTTAGACACGGCGAGGTGGTAGGCGGTGGTTTTCAATGCTGCATCCTGTGGCCCACCCTTTCACCTTCCTATTTTCCAGCTTCTCCAACGAGACCATATCTCTCTCTCTCTCTCTCTCTCTCTCTCAACCCTGTCCAATGACTCGCGATTCTCGACACCGACGTCGCCGGGATACCTACAGGGAAATTGAATTCAATCTCGAGATGAATATCGAATCGAACGAACAGACTCGAGCGAGCTACGACCTTCGCTTTCCACCTTTCTCTTTGTCGGTCTTACGAATCTACCGACCACGTCTCTACGCTTCCCGCGAGGGTACCTACTTCGATCACCACCCACCCCTCTGAAAACACGTCCGCTCGATTTCCTCGAGGGCTATCGAGACACGGCCGAGGAAGCCGCTTTTTGCCCAAAGAATCTTCCATTCGACGAATGAAATAGCTTTTGGAGCTTCGATCCAACAATTTTCTCTCATTTCCTCGTTGAGATTTCTGTTTAAAAATAGTATCTACCAGCTCCGGTTAATCCTATTCGAATCAGGTTATTAATTTTCATTTATTAATAGGATAAGTTTATTTATAAAACGCGGCAATGAAGTATGTTTTCATCGGGACGCTTTCGGGGTGTTTTGATCTGTTTACCGGAAACGGAGCAGGCGGGACCAGCGATCAATCTCTACGGCGGGCACGGAAGAGCGGTGAAATTGCAATTTGCAAACCATTTAACGGCCGCTTAGGTCCATTCTCGTGCGAAAACTTGCACGGTCCAAGTTCCCGGAAGTCCCCCTAACGACTTAATTGTACACTTGTCGCCTTTGAGAACTTAAGTTTCTCCTGCGGGCTACGACAATGAGCATTGTCGGCCTTTGTGGACGCACTGTTGTTCGCAATGTCGTACACCGGACCCGCTGCCAATCGCGATTTACATGAACCATGCCGAAAAAAGGATCGAAAACAATGCACGACCTTAGTGTTTTAATTAACCAATTAGAACTTTTTCATTAGACGTTTGCTGTACGAAGAATTCGTAACACTGTCAAAATTTTCAAGTACGTGAGTCACAATTAAAGTAGTTCATGAAAATATGTAAATTTTTTTAAAGAAAAATTGATACTTTTTTTAATAACAAAAGTGCTTAATGTAGCTAATTTCCTAGATTTTTGTTGCAAGCGTCGCGACGTAACCGAGCCGTCGGGAAAATGGCTGAGTCTCATAATTACGATTTTATTCCAGTTCCATTTAATCAAAAAATGTATCTTTATTTTATTCACACTTACTGTTAATTTACACTGTTAATTTATCGAAACAGTTCTTCCTTATTTTGAATGAAAAACAATTCCAACGTTCAATTTGTTATATTCTAAAGAAATATGCGAAACTTGTTGTCACGTAAAAGTCGCCAATGTCGTAAGTTTCGCTTGATTGTCAAAGGGGAAGGTTCGTAGACGTCGTTTCCTTGGTAGCTTGACGAGCCAACTTGACCAGTCGCCGACTGGTCAGTATCTATTTGCTGTGCATGCAAGTAGAAACAACGATAACAGGTTACTAGGACCAGTCCTGTGGGAATTCTGGTAGAGCTGTCCCATATTCGTGGGCCACGGAAAGCGAGTCTGTTTTCACAATGTTCATCGGGCCACCGCGTTGCGATTCTCACGTGACTGGTCAGCAACGGGTGTCCAACAGGTTTATCTTCGGAAGTGGACGAGACGTCGACGCCGGCGATCTCAGATACGAAACTTGACAGTGTCGTATCGTTTCTGGCCGAAGGAACATCGCGATTTTCTATTTACCCACGAGAAATACCCCCGGTGAAAAATTCGCGACCTCCCCGGTATCCAAATTTCGTTGACGATTAATTTTCAATAAAATAGAAGATCAAAATTTTTAGAACTCTTAACGAATACGTGCGAAAAATTATTCGAACGTATAATCGCGCGATTGATGGTCGCGGAGTGAAGTCGAAGAGAAGGTTAATCGATCCGCGGTAATGCAACTGGACGTGCGAGAATTAAATCATTTTCCGCGATACTGGTTGCTCGTAGGAAAAGGGGGGAATCGGTGGAAAATGGAGAGCTGCCAGCAGACACCTTCTTTCTCATTCCGGATTATGTAACCGAGAGGGTGCGAGAGGACGGGCCGGGGGTGGTGGAAAATGGTGGTGCGAAAACACGGTTCTCCGTGAAACAGTCGGACCCTCGTTTCGACGTTTTAATTGTTTCGTGTTCGTGGCGCGAGAAGGTAGAAGAGAAAGATGAAGAGAAAAGCGGGGCTGCTCGAACGAGTTCTGGCTACGGGGGTGGTATAAATATACGGGACGTTTAAAAAGTGCTTAAACGCATAGCTGGCCACCTAACCTACCCCTGTTTGCGGTAACAAGGGTGAGACCGGTGAAAATTTAGCGTAAAAAGCCGCAGGTTAAGCGAGAATTAAGAGCCGGCATGGAAAACTGGTTGAAGTGAATTAAACGAGCCTATTTCGATCTCCCTGTTTACGCGTCCTCGAATCGATTCGTTCACGTTGAGAAATTGCTGAAACTGAAATTATTGTCCCCTCGATTTTTGGCTGCAATTTCTGGCAACACAGGTGGCCTGGCGTTTAGTCGATAACGAAGGTGGTAGGAATCAAACTGCGTACCGAACCGAATCGAACCGTACCGAACCGATCGACGAATTGAGATTTGCGGTAGTTCGGCAACGTTCAAAATTCGAATTTGCCACGGGTATTCATTTCGCGGCGAACTCGACTCGGCCGGGCTTTCTCAGATATATGGAAATTTCCTTAGCCAGCGCCGTATTCAGAGGGGAGGCCAAGTAATATAAATTCAAATCAGTCCCTGTTTTCTCACACAACAAACTTGGAGGAACTCCGAAGCTGGTTCTCCGACAGTAGTTACTGCCTCCTTCCCGTTCCACCCTCAGCCACCCTCCGCGAACTAAGTACCCTCCTGTCCTACCAGTTACCACCCCCTTAATGAAGATATGTGACAGAACCAACCACCGTACGAATCTCGCCGCTCCACCCTCCTTCAAACATTCCCCACCTCTAATTTCTTAGATGTTTCTTGGAATGTACGTACCCTTTGAACCATCTTTATCGATAAGAAACAGTTATTATCAAGTTGTAAGATCAATTATCGCTTTTAATCTCGAAGGAATTGGCGGACGGAGGATGGTAAGGGCTTGCGTTCCGCGTTCCTTTGCGATCCCTTTCCGCCGCTTACTCCACCCTCCTTTAATACCCATCGCGATTTCCGTAATCTTGGGTGCCTCTATAGCCCTCCCTTATAATATAATAATATTCGCCGGAGAAGGTTTGCATACGCGCAGCTCTGTGGCCTTGCAAAATGGCCGACCACGTTAATGCCCCCTTAATATTTAGGGATCTAGCGTGTCCCGCCCGCCTCGAAGCCATACGACCGACACTTTTACCCTGCACCCTCTTAAAATCCACTTTACTCTTACGGTTAAATACATTCGAGGCTTACTTTGTATCTCCTTTTAAAGAACAGGATATCTATAATTCTAAAAACATGCGAAATGGCATTTATATTAATAATAGGATTTATCTTAAAATTTGTTCTTTCTTCGAACCCTGCCTCCCCCGTCTCGAATTTCAGCAATATCGTTGCACGTTCGACGGTAAGGAGGGTGCGCGGATTCGAATCGGTTCGCGAAACTATTCGCGGAACGTGAAAAGTCAAAATTCGCAGTCGGAGTCCGCCTTTTCGAACCCTTGGTACGCTCCCTCTTAGGTGGTAAACGCGGTGTGCAAGCAGAAACGTAGGTATTGCCGGAGTTCTCAGGGTCTCTAGTCTGCTGACAAGGCGG